CCACCGAAGGCCCCAGTGTGGGGGGGGGTACCCGCGTGCGTCCGCCACACCCATTACATCGTTTCGTGGCCCCATAGGGGAGCTCAATCGCCACACCCAGTACACCATGTCGTGGCCCCATAGGGAGCTCCACCGAACATTCGCATACGTCCCACCCATTGGTCCCCCCTCCTGCCCGCACTGCCCCGCGCCTCGTTCTCCCCTATGAGACCATAGGCTATACCGCGTGCGCTGCAAAATCCCAAACATCAAAATGAAACCACATGGTTTCCCCATTTCTCATCCCAGAAACCATGAACATCCCAATCAAATGCAACATTCGCGACGTCAAAGGTGCGCCAGTCATGTGTTTCCATGTTTTGATTTCTGGGATGAGAAATGAGCAAGCCATATGCTCTCTCTCTCTATGTATATATATATAGATATACAGATGTGATTTTTCTCCCTCCAACGGGTATCAAATCCAGGAGCCCTCCCAGGAGCTCCGATACACATAATCCCCATAATCACCCACATCAACATTAAAACATATGGTTTCCCCATTTCTCATCCCAGAAACCCCAAACACCCAAACGCAAGGTTTCCGCACCCCTGACTTTGCACACTTTTTGTTTCCAGTTGGGAGTTTTGGGATTTCGGTGATGAGAAGTGGTGAACACATGTGGTTTCAGTCAGATGTTTGGGATTTATGGGACTTGGGATCGGAGCTCCTCGGATGGGCTCCTGGGTTTGATTTTCGTTGGAGCAAGGGAAATACTAAACCTTTAATTCGCCAGTGGGCCACGGAGCGTGTGAAAGGGGTGCGGAAATGGGTGGCGTGGACGCATGTGGGCACCGCCACTGGGGCCTTCGGTGGAGCTTCCTATGTGGCCACGAAGCGGTGCGAGGTGTGGCGAAATGAGTGGCGGGGACGCATGTGGGCACCGCCACTGGGGCCTCCGGTAAAGCTTCCTCTGGGGCCACGAAGCGTGTGAGGGGTGCGCCGAAATGGGTGTTTGGGACGCATGTGGGTACCGCCGCAGGGGCCACCAGCGGAGCTCCCTATGGGGTCACGAAGCGTGTGATGGGTGTTCCAAAATATGTGGCGGGGGCGCGTGTGGGCACTGCTAGTGTGGCCTTTGGTGGGTCTCCCTGGGGCCACGAAGCGTGTGATGGGTGTGCCGGCATGGGTGTTGGGGACGCATGTGGACACCGCCACGGGGTCTTCGGTGGAGCTCTTTGTGGGGCCACGAAGCGTGTGAAGGGTTTTCCGAAATGGGAGTCGGGGGCGCATGTGTGCACCGCCACTGGGGCCTTAGGTGGAGCTCCTCATGGGGACACGAAACGTGTGAGGGGTGAGTGGCGGGGGCGCGTGTGGACACCGCCATTACGGCCTTCGGTAGAGCTCCCTATGGGGCCACGAAGCGTGTGAGGGGTGCGCCGAAATGGGTGGCGGGGATGCATGTGGACACCGCCACCGCGGTCTTCGGTAGAGCTCCCTATGGGGCCAGGAAGCGTTTGAGGGGTGTGCCGGAAATTGTGATGCTGCTGCTGCTGCTGATGATGCTGATAATGGTGATGATGATGCTGATGCTGCTGATGATGATGATGATGATGATGATGATCATGATGGTGGTGACGAAGAGGACAAAGGCAAGGAGGGGGAGGCGGGAGGAGGGGGAGGAGGAAAGAGAGGAGGAGGGACGCTGGGTGCTGTCTCTTCAAAGCGAGGACCCAACACCACAGGATGGTTGGGACAACATCCGAATCAAAGCACATCTTTCCTCACTTCTCATCCCAGAAATCTCCAGCATCCCCATGAAAACGCAGGGTTTCCATACCCCTGATATCGCAAACCTTGTGTTTTCAGAGGGATTATGTTGGGTGTTTGGTAGAGGCACAGAGAGAGAGAGAGAGAGAGCTATACATATTTACCTATACGACCACCCTACGGGTGATAAGGAGGTTGGGGGGGGTGGAGGGGCCGAGCAATGGGCAACAGTGGTGATTGTTCTCCTGACGATGCCAGTGGAGATTTTTTTGTCGGAGGCCTGCTGAAGCCCCTCTTGTCGCCACTGACTAAATCGCTTCAAAATATTGCTCAACGGCTGCCCTTCGGCGGTCGAGACCGATGTACCACCAGCATAGCTCTTTTTCCCTTGCTCAAACAGCGCAAACGGCTGGAAACAAAGCGAAAGCGTGCCTCATGCAGTCAGAGAATACCGAAGAGCTGGCACAGCCTGACATACACCGTGTCCCCCTAATAGCACTACAGCAACAGTGAGATCTCACAATCGATACCACTATCGACGTCATCATCATCATCATCATCATCATCATCATCATCATCATCATCATCATCATCATCATCATCATCATCATCATCATCATCATCATTATCATCATCAACATCAACATCAACATCATAATCATCGCCATGATCAACATCATCTCATCATCATCATTACCATCATCATCATAATCATCATCATAATCATCATAATCATCATCAACATCATCATCGGGACACCGACGGGACACCGACGGGACACCGGCGGGACACCGGCGGGACACCGCGCGCCACCGGCCGCCCGGCGGAGAATCATTTGGTCCGGCCGCGCCATCATCAACATCATCTCATCATCATCTTTACCATCATCATCATAATCATCATCATCATAATCATCATCAACATCATCATCGGGACACCGACGGGACACCGACGGGACACCGGCGGGACACCGGCGGGACACCGCGCGCCACCGGCCGCCCGGCGGAGAATCATTTGGTCCGGCCGCGCCTCAGCCACAGGAGACTTTCTCTCGCCCGCCCACGCAGCTTCGCCTCACCCGCACGGCACGCACGAACACGAAACCGAAATCGATTTCCCGGTAGGGGGGCTCTCCGTTCCACTTCGATCTCACCCCCCAACCTCTGATATATATATATATATATATATGTGTGTATATATATATATAGAGAGAGAGAGAGAGAGAGAGAGAGAGAGAGAGAAAGAGAAAGAGAGAGAGAGATATATAGACAAAAGGAAGAGAGATAGAGAAAGAGAGAGAGAGAGAGAGAGAGAGAGAGAAAGAGAAAGAGAGAAAGAAAGACAGAGACAGATACAGAGACAGAGATATACACACATAGCTATTTAGAGAGAGCACATTCCAGGTCCAACTGATTCTAATTGGATTCCCGTTGGAATTGAATGGATATGTAATTGGAATTGGGCACATCCCAGATCCATTTGTGTCCAATTGGAAGTCCTATTGCAATCGAGTAAGAACCAAATTGGAATCGAGCCGATCACAGATCCAGCAGATTCCAAATAGAGTCCCTTTGAAGTGTAATTGGAAGCTACTCGGAATTGAGCGGATCCCAGATCCAGCTGATTCCAGTTTGATTGCTATTGGAGTCGAATAAGAATTTAATTTAGCTGGGGCAGATACCTTATTCGAGTTGGGCAGATCCCAGACCCAGCTGATTCTAATTGGACTCCAATTGGACTCCATTTAGGATCTATTGGATTCTTGGATTCTTTAGGCTCTAATTGGTCTCTTATTAGGATTCTAATTGGACTCCGATTGGTATCCATTTTGGATCACAGTTCCAGCTGATTCCAATTAGATTCTTATTGGTACTTAATGAGAATCTCAAGGGGGTGGAGCGGGTCCCAGATCCACCTGATTCCAATTTGATTCCTATTGGAATCTAATTCGAATTTATTTGGAGTTGCGCAGATCTCAGGTCCAGCTGATTCTAAGTGGATTCCAGCTCAAAAAAACACCAGAGAACTGACGAATAGGAAAGACTGATGAGCAGGCGCAGATGGAAAGAAGGCGGATGATCATCAAGAGTACGAACGAAGAGCTCAAAGTCCGATGCAACATGAATGGGTGCTGGGGGGATCTGCGCACACACACATACATACACATATACATATCTATACATATCTATATACATGTACATATACATGTGCACACACACATATATATATATATATATATATATATGTATATGCACATGCGTATATACAAACATACAAACTTTCTATATGAACGTATATGTGTTCTGTAGGAGCATGTGGCTCTGTGTGTGATTGAGACGCGAAGCGTGCCCCGTTTTGGCCCTCGCTGCAGGGAGGCCCCCCTCGGCCGCTGGAGCAGATGGTGCGTGGCTGTTCTGCCGCTCCCCGGCTCTGCTCCGTGCAGCCCGTCCTGCCCCGACCCCTCCCGCCGCTCTGCGGCCCTGGCAGCGCCCGCGGGCGCGCCCTGGCTCCGGCCCTGGCTGCTGCCGCGGGTCCCGCTGCCCTGGCTGGCCGCTCTGGCCCGCGCACCGCGGAACTCTTCCGCGTCTGAGCGCCCTCCCCCTCCACCCCTCGCGCGGCCGCCCTCTTCTTCGCCTTTCTCTCTTGCGCGCCGGACAATTTGCCGACCGGTTGCCCCGATCAACCCGACGCTGGTGCGGATTCCCTCTGCCTCGCCGCCGACGGTAAAAGTCCCGCCGCTCAGCATCACGCTCTTCGTCGGCCTCTTGATTGCGCAGAAGCTGGCTCGGCATCGCTCGGGCGTGTGCATCTTTTCTCGGGGGACCCTCGAGAAGCATCTTCGATCCTCATGCGGATTTTGAGCGTGCGCAACCGAAACATGCACGGGGAACGGACGTCCGAACGATGGCGAACTGGTGCGCAACACAGGAGCATCCGACGACACCGGCTGCCGATGGTGGTTGCAACTTGCCTGCGACAGCTGCGTGTGGCACAAACTGCAGCGGCAATTTGTCACATATGCGACAGCGTCATTATGATCACTTCCGACATCACCACGGTGCAAGGGCTCCAGTTCCCCCCGCGCCGACCCTCAAGGGTCCCGCTCCGACGGATCTGCGTGCTTCGCTTCGCTCTCTCTCTCTCTCTCGATTTCTCCGCGTTTTTGGCCGCCAGCTCTCCCTTGGCGACCTTCCTGCCCCTTCTTTGCCACCCCCTCGGGAAGCCAGGGCCCCCGCGGCCTCCCCGCGAGGTGCGGGGTGCGACCTCTGCCGCCTCGGAGGCGCTGGAGGCGGCCGGGGTGTCGGCGGGGGCTGCCGGAGAGGCGGCAGAGGCGGCCGCAGAGGCCGCGGAGACGGCCGCAGAGGCTGCGGAGGCGGTCGCAGAGGCGGCGGAGGCGGCCGAGGAGGCTGCGGAAGAGGTCGCAGAGGCAGCGGAGGCTGCCGGGGAGGCGGCGAAGGCGGTCGCGCAGGGGGCGGAGGCGGCCAGAGAGGCTGCGGAGGCGGCCGGGGAGGCGGCGGAGGCGGCCGGGGAGGCGGCGGAGGCGGCCGGGGAGGCGGCGGAGGCGGCCGGGGAGGCGGCGGAGGCTGCCGGTGAGGCGGCGGGGGCGACTGGAGACGCAGCTTAGGCGGCGGCAGCGGCGGTGGAGGCCACTGTCTCTTTTTTTTTTTTGTTTCTCTCTCTCTCTCTCTCTCGCTCTCTCGGTCATTCCGTCTCTCTGTTAGTCATGATGTTTTTTTTTCCGCCCGTCCCCCCCCCCTCTCTCTCTCTCTCCTTCTCTCTTCCGATCGACTTGAAGACGCCTACGGCAAATCACCGCCGCCCCCTGTCTTTCAGGATACGCCTATGAGGCCACACGTCTGGGCAAAGTTTGGCCACGCTCTTGGACTATGTGTTTCCCCAACCGTTGTGGAAGCCCTTCGGGTAACACGTGGTGGAGGAAGAGGAGGATAAGGAGAGGGAGCAAAAAGGATGATGAGGAGAAGAATGAGGAGACTCTTGGGAGCTTCTTGGGTCGTGCTTGGGGCCTCCTGGGAGCTTCTGGGGGCCTCTTGGAGGCTGGTTTGGGGCCTTCTTAGGGGCTTCATTGGCCGTCTTCGGGCGTTCCTGGTCCCTCTGACCCCGTCGGAAGCCGTCTTGGGAGCCTCTCTGGGCTTAGGTCGTGCAGAGGAGGCAAAGCGTTGACCCGGCGCGGGATATTCGAAGTACAGCGAAAGTGTGACATGAAAACGAAAGGGACGTACGAGTGTGAGTCGCCCGAAAAGTGGAAGTATGAAAAAAGTATGGACAAGTATGAAAAAAGTATGGGGGGAAATGGGATTATGATAAAAGTAAAAAAAAGTATTGGGGAAAATGGAAGTATGAAAAAAGTATGGAAAAGGTACGGAACATATCACGGGAAATGAGAGTATAAAAACAATGAAGATGTGTGTGTGTGTGGGGGGTGCGAAACCGTGAAAAAATGAAAAACATGACATGCGCATGGAATTATTGCATAAGTGCGAGACACGCGTGGAACAGCAAATCGCCTCCGGGAGCCCCGGCGACGGGCCCGATCGCGTGGAAACCGTGTGTTTTGACGTTGGCCCTTAACGGTGACCGACTGGATTTTGAAGTTAACATGGGTGTGCGTGAATGGAGTCTGTGGTGGGCAACGCAGAACTCCTTTCACGCGCGCCCGCGCGCGCTCGGAGAGTTCTGTATTGCCCTTAATGGAAAAGTCTCCATGTTGGCCTGGCAGTTAAAGTGGGCCCTTAACGGCAACCGATTGGATTTGAAGTTAATCCGGGTGTGCGTGAATGGAATCTGCGATGGGCAACGCAGAACTCCTTTCGCGCGCGCGCGCTCGGAGGATTCTGTTTTGTCCACAATGGAAAAGTCGCCATGTTGGCCTGGAAAGTACAGTCAATCCATGACGGTGGCCGATTCGATTTTGAAGTTAACATGTGGTGACGTGAGCGGAGTCGGGCATGGGCACCACGCGCTCGCGCTGTGGCCTGTTTTGATCACAGTGGAAAAGTCGCCATGTTGGCCTGGAAACTAAAGTGGACCCTTGACGGTGACCGACTGGACCTTGAAGGTTACCGGGTGTGCTTGAATGGAATCTGGATTGGGCAACGCAGAACTCCTTTCGCGCGCGCGCTCGGCGTGTTCTGTTTTGTCCACAGTGGAAAAGTCGCCATGTTGGCCCGGGAAGCAAAATGAGCCCTTAACGGTGACCGATTGGATTTTGAAGTTAACGTGTGATGACGTGAAAAGAGTCGGGCATGGGCAACGCACGCGCGCGTTGCGGCCCGTTTTGTCAACAGTGGAAAATTAAAGTGGACCCTTAACGGTGACCGGTTGGACTTTGAAGTTAACCCGCGTGCGTGAATGGAATCTGTGATGGGCAACGCAGAACTCCGTTCGCGCGCTCGGCGAGTTCTGTATTGCCCACAAAGGAAAAGTCGCCTTGTCGGCCTGACGGTGACCGACTTGATTTTGACATTAACTTGTGGGGACGTGAATGGAGTCGGGCATGGGCAACGCGCGCGCGCTGCGGTAGTTTTGTCCACAATGGAAAAGTCGCCAGATTGCCTGGGCAACTAAAGTGGACCCTTAACGGTGACCGAATGGATTTTGAAGTTAGGCCGGGTGTGCGTGAATGGAATCTGCGCGGGGCAACGCAGAACTCCTTTCGCGCGCGCGCTCGGCAGGTTCGGTATGTCGCCATGTTGTCCGGGAAAGCAAAGTGAACCCTTAACGGTGACCGATTGGATTTTGAAGTTGACATGTGGTGACGCGAGTGGAGTCGGCGGGCGGCGGCGGGCCCCGTGCTCAGGTCAGAGAAATTCTCTGCCTAAGCCGTCCCCAGAGGAACCGCCAAAGCCACTGCAGCACTGTATTCCCGCCTGCGGTCATGTAGTTCCGCACTGCAGTAATCCCACTTCCTCGCTTCGTCGCGGAGGCCGGTGGGGCCGTCCAGAAGTATTGCTGCGCAAGTCCGCTGGTCTTCTGCCATGGGAAAACCTGTTATTTGACAAGTTGATGATGATAATTCTTCCGGTGGCGACCCTTCCCGAGAGATGAGCAGTGCTGCTTCCAATCATGATGTGCACCAGCTCGCCACTAATCTTCGCCCGAGTTTCCACCGATTTGGCGAGACGGGCGTTGAGCCGACATCCAGCGGCTTTCGACGAGCCCGGGTCGCGACGCCATTGTGGCGATGGCCGGGCGTTGGCGGGGGCCCCCCGCCGCGATCCCGCGCAGCGCGCGGGCGAATTTCCGGGCGACGCGGGCGGCGTTTGTCGCGGAGCGGGGGGGGGCAGTGATTGCGGCCGTGAGGGCGCGCCCCTCGGCAGGCGCGCGCTCGGCGCGCGCGCGCGTTTCCGCCGGGGGCGCGGGCCCGGCGCGCGTCGTTGTTTCTTTCTTTGAAAACTGCAGCGCGCGCTTCATTCCATCGTCGGCGGAAGCCGACCGATTTTCTGCATGTGCAATGTGCCGGGCGTTCGCGAACCAGGTCCGCGCCCCGTGCCCCGCGGGCCCGCCAGGCCGCGCCGCGCACGGACGCGATGCGCGTGGGCGTCGCGCAGGGTGGTGGGCGGCCGGGGCGAGGCGCGGCGGGGGCACCGCCCCCGCTTTCGCTCTTTGTTCGAATCTTGCCGCCCGACGCTTGGCGCCACTCGCCAATGGCCCGGTGCGTGGGCGAGCCGCGAGCCGAAGGCCGCCGCCGAAGCGACGCTTTTGCCGCGGGCGTTCGGGGCCCTTGCAATGGGGGCTGGGCCCTGCGCCCCGGAGTTCCGCGGCCCCTGGCGCGAGTGCCCCAGCCGAGCAGATTCCGAGCATGCGCGGCCGTGGCTCGCGGCCAGTTGGGCCCGGGCCTCGGCCCGGGGCCCAGGCCCCCGCCCCCGACAGGCCGGGCGCCCGCCGGCGCGTTCGCGCGCGCGCCCGGGGGAGGGGGTGGGGGCACATTTTTGGTTCAAATTTCTAAACGCAGGCAAACTTTTTTTCGCATTTTTCATTTTTTTCAAACTTTTTTCAAACTTGTTCCAAACTTTTCCATTTTTTTTTTGTTTTCCAAATTTCCAAATCGGCATTAAAAATTCGTCAAACTTGTTTCAAACTGTTTTCAAACTTTTCGCACTTTTTTTTTCGAACTTCTTTCGTGCTTTTTCAAACATCCAAATCCAGGCACACTTTTTTCCAACAACTTTTTTTCATACTTTTTCACAGTTTTTTCAAACTTTAACTTTGTTCAATCTTTTTCGCATTTTTCATGTCCAAAGCCGGGCCTTTTTTCCAAACATTTTCGCACTTCCAAATCGGTCACATTTTTTCAAGCTTTTTTGTCCATTTTCATTGTTTCATTTTTTTCAAACTTATTCCAAACTTTTTTCAAACTTTCTCATTTTTCTCAAACTTTTTTCAAACTTCCAAGTCGGCCCAAACTTTTTCAAACCTTTTTCTAACTTTTTCCCAAACTTTTTTCAAACATCTAAATCCGGGCGAACGTTTTTCAAATATTGGTCAGACTTTATTCAAACTTCTAAATCTGGGCCCAGGGGCCGCTGCTCGGGCCCAGCCCTGGTGGGCCGGGGCCCTGAAGGCATCGGGCGCGGGCTCCGCGCCCATGCTTGCGGGCGTCAAGACTCTGGGGCGCGGGCCCTCGCCGTCTATGCACGCGCCCGGCGACGGGGCCAAGCGTAGGCCGACGCGCAGGCGCGGGCGCCGCCCCGTGCCGGCAGCAGCACCCAGTGCCCATTGCGCGGTTCTTCGCCGCGGGCACAGGGTCGAGCGGCGCCCCGTCCTGGCGACTCGCGCAGGCTGGGCCTCCCGCGAGGGCCCCCGGGCCGGGGCTCGGCTTCCCGTCCTGGCGACGCTCGCGCGCCCCGGGCATTGTTTGGCGGGCGGCTGGGAGGCCCGTCCCCCTGCCCCGCTGGCGCCAGCTTGGGGCCGCGTCCGGGGGACACCGACGGCGGCCGAATTCTTCAGAGGCCCCTCTAGAGGCTCCTCGAGGGGCGCCTCCAGGAGCTCCTCCCGGGGCCCACGCTTTCGATGTCCCCCCATCGCAGACGCTGGGCCTCGCCCGCTCGGCCCCCCCCCAGCCCGCCCCGCGACGCCCCAACAGCAGAGGTTTGTCGTTCGTTGCCCGTGGGCCCGCGCGCGCGGGTGGAGATAATGTAAACAGTTCCGCGCGCTCCGCGCGCCGAGCTGTGCGCGCTGCAAACCGTTCAGCGCGCTTCGCGCGCCGACCTGCGAACGTCGTTAACCGTCCAGCGCTTTGCGCGGCGCACTGTAAATCCCGCAAACCGTTCAGCGCGCTTCGCGGGCTGAGTCGGGCATGGCGTAGACCGCCGAGCGCGATTCCTGCGCCGAGTTTACCGCAGCAAGAGCAGGGCACGCAGCGCGCGGCTTCCCCCCCGCCCCCGACGCCCGCGCGCTCGGCGGGGCCGCTCCGGCCTGGCTGGGCGACGACGCAAATGCAGGGGTGAGTGTCCCTCGTCCTCGGGCGCTTCGTCGACGTGTAGATATTGTAAACCGTTTTGCGCGCTTCGCGCGCCGAGCTGTCAACGTTGCAAATTGTCTTGTGCGCTTCGCGCGCCGAGCTGTAAACCGCCCAAACCGTTCAGCGCGCTGAGTCGGGCATGG